TAGGTTAAGACACCTTTGAAATAAGCATAACCATCCTTAAGATAGCACATGATCCTGTTAACTGTCCTATAATCCAATCCCCACCTTGCTTTCTCATTCCTTCATGTAATTTTACTTACCTTCCACGTAATCTCAAATGCATAAAAGAAAGTGCAACACTGTCGTTTTCTGCCCAGCATTTGAGATCTTGCATCCTGGCAACTGTTGTCAGTTTGGCTCAAATAAACTCTTACAAAAACTCTCTACAGGGCCCTGGCCGGGTGGCTCAGTTGGTTGGAGTGTAGTCCTGTGAACCAAAAAGGTTTTGGGTTCAATTCCCGGTCAGGGCGAGTGCAGGAGGCAACGGATTCTCACATCGATGCTCTCTCTCTCACACCCCCTCCCCTCCTTTAGCTCTAAAATCAATTAAAAAACCCCACATATCCTCAGGGGAGGATTTTTAAAAAATTCTTTACAGGTTTGGACGTTCTTATGTCTATAGTGGTAACCGAAGCTTTGATTGCAATGGGAGGAGGGGGATGATGACAGAAGCTCTTCCTCCAAGATCTTCATCTCCAGTGCCCCTTGCCTGAACTTCCTTTTTAGTTTTTTTTTGGAGATTCCTCAAATTCCAATTGCTTTTTGTCCACCTTGTGTGCCAACAGCAGGGAGAAGTATCATTTCCTGCTTTTGGCATAATTATGATTATGATTCAGCTGTGAGTCAGTGGGGTGTATTGTAGAGGCATCCCCAAAAGAGACATCCTGTTATGATCAGTGGTTGGGCAATACAATTATCAGCACTGATGACAGATTCCAAAGGTCAACTCACTCCCTTCCCTCTTCACGCCCTCTCTTCTACTCTTGTCTTTGTCACCTGGGCCTTCTAATTCACACTTACCAAGTTCTGTTGATTCTTGGAAACAGTCCTTGTTTTTCTCTCTTGATCACCTCTCTCTTCCTCTGGGCCCCCTAATATATCTCCTAATCTCACTTGACTGGTTTCCTAATCTTGGGTAGGAGCATTGGAATTGAACTTTGAAGAAGCAGAGTGTTTTGTTTTTAATTGAGGTATAATCGACATACTATAAAATGGACAGATATAAAGTGAACAACAGCTTGGTGAGTTTCTTTTTTTAATTAATTTTTTTAGAGAGAGAGGAAGGGAGAGAGAAACATTGATTGGTTGCTTCCCATAGGCACCCGACCAGGGATTGAACCTGTAACCTGGTTTTTTCCCCTGACCGGAAATCAAACCAGCGAACTTTGGATGTATGGGAGGAATGCTCAACCAACTGAGCCACACAGGCCAGGGCCAGTGAGTTTTTATAAATGTCTGTTTCCATATAGTCACCTCTCATTTGGATATAGACTATTTCTAGCCTCCCAGAGTTTTCTTGTGCCCTTTTCTCTAATATAATTATCGCCCCCACACCAGAGGCAACTGCTAATCTGTGTTCTAGTTTAGATTAGTTTCACCTGAACTAGAACTTCATATAGATGCAGAGTATGTACTCTTGAACAAAATAAGTCAGACACAAGTAATGTTCAGCAAGTCATGTGTGTCGATGCATTTTATCAGCTATTTTTACCCTTTTTAAAAAAAAAAAGTTTGTATTGATCTTTTTAGAGAGAGAGGAAGGGAGAGGGAGAGAGAGAAACATCGATCGGCTGCCTCCTGCATTCCCCCTACCGGGGATCGAGCCCACAACCCGGGCATGTGCCCTGACCAGGAATCGAACCGGCGACATGGGATGATGCCCGACCAACTGAGCCACAACAGCCAGGGCTATTTGTCCCTTTTTATTGCAAAGTCATGTCTGTTGGATGAAGACATCACCAGCTTGTTTTTAAGCTGAGTTTATTATGTCAGCATCTGGGTAGGGCTCTGTTTTTGTTCTGATCTTTAATCCTCACAACATTCTCTTGAAAATAGGAACTGAGCTTCTCTCCCATTTTACGGATGAGGAAACTGAGGCCCAGAAGGATTAAGTCAGTTGCCCAAATCAGTCTAGTTAAATGGCCTAGAAAGCCATTTACACCCAGATCTGTCTAAACAACTCACTACACTGCCTCTCAGGGAATCTGCACCAAAGTGCTGGGGAAATCATCATAGTAGAAGTGAAAAAAGGAATCCCTTCCATGGATCCCTTTGCCAGGAACACCAAATCAGATTTCTCTGTCTGTCCACGCATATTTGAGAACTCAAATACATACATACATCCGTAAGTAAAATAAGTTATTTTTAAAATAACTTTTACAAGGAAAAGCAACCCGAATGTTTAATTGTGCTCCACAGACGCCAGGGCAGTGAAAGATAATCTTTTTGCAAGGTCCTCCAAAAGTACTACAAATGCAGAACACTCCTTGACAGCTGGAATCAGGTCATGGAAAATCACAACCCATCTTACCTTTCCCTGGCATCTCATGGCTGTCTGCCCCTTATATAAATGTAATACACTCTGGATAGTGGAACAATTTCCTGAAGTAAGCCAGAGGAGAGTAATAAAGCATAGCAAACGGTGTCCCATTCTACAGGAAGGTGGTTTTCAAACTGGTGGGCATTTAAAGAGAATATCAAGGAGAAAAGAAACAGGAAAAAATAAAAAAGACTGTATGACACAGCTTGTAGGATCTTTTTTTTAAAAATTGATTTGAGAGAGAGACAGACAGACAGACATTGACTTGTTGATGCATCATTGGTTGATTCTTGTATGTGCCCTGACCTGGCAAACCCCCGACATTGGCTTATGGAGGTGACACGCTAACCAACTGAGCCACCCGGCCAAGGCCAAGATCTTGTTTCTTCCGCTTCAAGAATGAAGGAAGGGCTCCTCTCAGGGGCAACAGCATCATAAAGGATTTACGCTCTTCAGATCTTTTTGTCTGGGGTTTCTCTCAGAATGGAATAACTTTCTGGAGATGTGATTTCTGCTTCAAGTATGATGCATGTGTAAATTACCTTTGTGCAAAATGAGCTAATGACTAAATTTTGCACAAACAATTAAACAATTTTTTTGTTATGGCTAATACTCAAAATCAGTTGATAAAAGGAAAAGTCTTCTTACCCATCTTCAAGGATAATGAAACATATAAGTAATATAGCCATAAATCAAAACTTTTATTTTACATACTGTTTGCCTACATAACATCTGACTCAGGAGGAAAATCCTGCTAGCTGCTTTTATTATTTTTGTCTTATTTCCTTATTCAATATAAAGTATGCTGAAATAAGCCGGATCAGAGTTTTTAATTGCCTCATTGTCTTAGTTTACATAGGAAATCAAAGTTTATACTTTGAGCTTAAAAGATTATTATTATCAGGTAATCACCAACCAATAAAAGTTGGCTTTGATTCCAGTTTACACATAGCAGTGCATTCTAAATTAAAGTATAATATCCAAAAGGACCCCTAGCCGGTTTGGTTCAGTAGTTAGTGTAGGCTTGTGGACTAAAGGGTCTGGAGTTTGATTCCAGCCAAAGGCATGTACCTCAGCTGTAGGCTCGAACCCCAACCTTGGTCAGGGTGTGTTCAGGAGGCAGCCGATCGATGTGTCTCTCTCACATCAATGTTTCTCTCTCTCTCTCTCCCTCTTCCTTACGCTCTCTCTGAAAAACAATGGAAAAAATATCCTCTGGTGAGGATTATATATATATATCCAAAAGGAAATGCAGCCAATATAATTTTTTGTTGTTGTTAATCCTCACACTAGTATATTTTTTCTATTGATTTTTAGACAGAGTGGGAGGGAGAGAGAGAAATATTAATTCGAGAAAGACACATCAATTGGTTGCCTCCCACACTTGCCCAGACCAGGACTGGGGATCGAACATGCAACCCAGGTATGTGCCCTTGATGAGGAATCGAACCCAAGACCCTTCAGGATGTGGGCTGATACTCTAACCACTGAACCAGACTGGCCAGGGCACAGTCAATATAATTTTGATCTCTTTTCGAAGATGCAAAAATAGCATTTTAGGAAGTTTCCCAAACACTTTGTCTTCATTTTTACCTAAAAAGCAAAGTCTTTTTTTAAAATTGATTTTTAGAGAAAGAGAGACAGACAGACATTGACTCACTGTTCTACCTATTTATGCATTCATTGGTTGATTCTTTTTTTTAAACAACTTTTTTTTAAAATGTCTTTATTGATTTCAGAGAGAGGAAGGGAGAGAGATAGAAATATCAATGATGAGAGAATCATTGATCCACTGCCTCCTGCATACTCCCTAATGGGGATCAAGCCCAAAATCTGAGCATGTGCCCTGACCGGGAATGGAACCGGAATCTCCTGGATCATAGGTTGATGCTCAACCACTGAGCAACACTGGCCGGACTGGTTGATTCTGGTCTGTGACCTGACATGGGATCAAAACCCGAAACCTTGGCATATTGGGACGCTTCTCTAACCAACTGAATTACCTGGCCGGGGCCAGAGTCTTTCTTTTTCTAGGAAAAGTTTTCTCTTATTACATCTAAGGTTACTGTTTCTGTTCCATTTCTTTTGATCTGACATTCAGATATTTGATTACCTTTGCTGCTGGGTCTCTGCTCTCTGGCCTCCACATTGATAATTTATCATAATTTTTCTTTCTATTTCCTCTCTACCTACTGGAGAAATCACCTCAGTTTTAATGGTTTTGCAGTGTCAATTTTTGTTATTACTGTTTCCAATATAGGTTTATAATATGCTAAATAATTTACTTTATTAACGTGCATGAAAGTGCTAATATTTTGTTCCCAGATCCCAGTGAATTCATACTTTGGACTCACCAAACTATTATGTCAGTCTTACACATTGTGGACAAGTCTCACTTTTGGATATGATTTTTGCATCCTCCACTATACTTTTGGTTCATGAAATTGAATTTGTTGTGCATGTTTCATTTCCTGGGAACCAGAGTTTTACGATAGGGTTATATTTCTGGTTCGTTCTTCAGTTGGCAGGAAATGGACATAGGTAGTATGGTCAGTTTCTGATCCTGGCATTAAAACTTTTTCCCCCTTTTCTCCTCTCACAGCGGAAGACAAATGTGAGAGAAATGAGTTCCAGTGCCAGGACGGGAAATGCATCTCCTACAAGTGGGTTTGTGATGGGAGTGCCGAGTGCCAGGACGGCTCTGATGAGTCCCAGGAGACATGCAGTGAGTCCCGTTTGGGTATTACACCTATCCCAACCCTTTTAAAAATATGCTTTCTTAAATTTATTTTTTTAGAGAGAGAGGAAGGGAGAGGGATAGAGAGCACATTGATCGGCTGCCTTCTGCACTGTCCCTACTGGGGACTGAGCCTGCAACGTGAACATGTGCCCTGACCTGGGAATCGAACCAGGGAACTCCTGGTTCGTAAATGGACATGCAACTGCTGAGCCACCCTGGCCAGGCCATCCCAACCCTTTTTGATGATAGTGGGTGACAGATGAGATGGACTTTGGCCATTAGATTGATATGTTCAACCATGAATTGGGAGATGGAAAGCCAAGATATTACTTGAACAGCTCTTTTTTTTTTTTTTTTTTAATCTTCACCCAAGGAGTGACATTATTTTTTCCACTGATTTTTTTAGAGAGAGTGGAAGGGAGGGGGAGAGAGGGAAAAGAGAGAGAGAAACATTGATGTGAGAGAGACACATGAATTGATTGCCTCCTGCAAGCCCCGACTGGGGGCAGGGATCGAACCTGCAACCCAAGTACATGCCCTTTACTGGGAATCAAAACCTCAACCCTCTGGTGCACAGGCCAACGCTCTAACCATTGAGCACACCAGCCAGGGCTGAACAGCTCTTTATTATTTTTTATTTTTTTTTAAATATGTCTATTGATTTCAGAGAGTGGAAGGGAGAGAGAGAGAGAGAGAGAGAGAGAAACATCAATGATGAGAGAGTCATTGATCTGTTGCCTCCTGCACGCCCCCTACTGGGGATCGAGCTTACAATCCAGGCATGTGCCCTGACTGGGAATCGAACCTTGATCTCTTGGATCATAGGTTGATGCTCAACTGCTGAGCCATGCTGGCCGGGCTCTTTTTTTTAAAAAAAAAAATTGAGGTGAAATTCACACAAATAAAAATTAACCATTTTAAAGTGACCAGTTCAGTCGCATTAATACATCACAATGTTGAACAATCTACCACCTCTATCTCATTCCAGAACCTAGCGTCTGATTTTTAACAAGTTCCATTAAATTTTGACCTAGAAAGGCACCCTTTTTCTGAAAACTCTGGGTTCTTCCTTGCACAGCTAGGACTGGTGAAGCAGACTGGCTTTTCCTTCAAGGTAAGACTCAATCCTGTTTTTCCCACAGAGTCTGTCACCTGCAGGCTAGAGGACTTCGCCTGTGGGGGTCGTGTTAACCGCTGTATTCCTGAGTTCTGGAGATGTGATGGCCAGGTGGACTGCGAGAATGGCTCCGACGAGCAAGGCTGTTGTAAGTGTGGCCCCTCGCATGACAGGGTGTCCATGCAGCCCAATGGGGCTCTGGGCTGCTAGCAGAGATTGTTCCCCAGGCAGCCTTGCCCAAAGTGTGGATCGCCTGCTCTTCACTCAGCTCTACCTCCTGGGGCTTGTACCAAATCCCCTCCCACCCATTGAAACCCACCTCGACTAGAAGGCATTGCAGCAGGTAGTGATGGTGCCCCTCTTGGGGTTATCAGCATGCTTGGTGAGGCTGTTCTTGCCAAGTGTCCTCCACATGGCATATGCTTCCATCAGTGAGCCACTGTGACCACCTTCAGCCACCCCAGGAGGCTAACACACAGTAGGTACTCACCCACCAAGACTCGCTCATCCAACTAACCATTAAGAGGAAGAAAGTTTCACAAAGCTGAGGCTTTTGCAAAGAAACAAGGCCAAGAGTCCTGGAAGGGAGCTCACTTTGGATTTGGGTGTCTGTCTTCGCTCTTTGATTTTTTTTTTTTCCCCTCACCCAAGGATATTTTTTCCACTGCTTTTCAGAGAGAGTGGAAGGGACAGAAAGAAACATCAATGTGAGAGAGACACACCAATTGGTTGCCTCCTGCACGTGCCCCGACCAGGGCCAGGATTGAGCCTGCAACTGAAGTACGTGCCCTTGGCCAGGATCAAACCTGGGACCCTTCAGTCCACGGGCCAACGCTCGAACCACTGAGCCAAACCAGCTAGGGCAGCTCTTTGATTTTATGTATTATTATTATTGTTTTTTTACTTGTGTAGGTTTTTTTTCATTTCAAAACCCAAATAACTGGGAAAAATTAAATAACTAAGATCACATTAAATCTTCAAATTCACAAAATATAAAAATCCTTAAGAGATTTTTAAAAAGATTTTTATTGAGTTTTAGAGAGAGAGGAAGGGAAAGAGGGAGAGAGAGAGAGAGGAACATTGTTGTGAGAGAGATGCATCAATCCGCTGCCTCTTGCATGCCCCCAACCAATTGGGCCACACCAGCTGGGGCCTTAAGAGACTTTTTAAAACAACAAAATGCGTTTACTTACATTTACCTTAGAAATACACAATTAACCTTCTTTAGTGGTAATCTGATGAAATGACTTCTTGGGGAACATTTTAAAATAAAGTGGATAGGTGTTCTTTTCCAGGCACTCTTTTTTTTTTTCCTTCCAGTTTCACTGATATGAATGACATATAACATTGTGTAAGTATAGGCTCTGGAGGTGGTGGCGGCTGCAGGTGCGACTTTGGAGGCAGCCATGGCATTAAGATGATGAACGCCCCTCCAGCCTTCAAGTCATTCTTGCTGTTTGAAAGCAAGATCACCATTAACAAGGACTCCAAGGTACCCAATGCCTGTTTGTTTACCATCAACAAAGAAGATCAGACTCTAGGAAACATTATTAAATCACAGCTGTTGAAGGACTCACAGGTGCTGTTTGCTGGCTACAAAGTCCCTTACCCCCTTGAGCACAGAATCATCATCCGTGTGTAGACCACACCAGATTACAGCCCCCAGCAGGCCTCCACCAGTGCCACTGCAGACCTCATCAGCAAGCTCTTCCTGCTGGAAGAGTAATTCCAGGTGGCCATCGAAGATAAGCAAAGAGGAAATGGGGAAAAAAAAGAAGGAACTGAATAGTAGGCTGGAAGGGGTCTTGCTTGGCCGGTTCCTACTCAGCACTGGGCCCTTCTCTAAGCACTAAGTGAAGGAGAGCAGCTCATCCTAGCCGTGGGCATCCTGGACAGACATCCTGGAGAGCCCCTCATCCCCAACACCAGTGTGTCTTATACACAGATTCTGTATCATCTTCCTAATAAAGTAGGGCAGGAAAAGACCTGGATGTCAGCTGCTGCAGAGGTGACTTCCCAGCAAATGAACTGTCAGACTCAGTGGAGGTGGATTACCTGTCTCCAGGACACTCAGGCCACATTTTAGAGTTGATTGGCCCAGAGACCCAGATTTCTGTCTGAGAGGGTGGCAGGAACAAACTGATTCTGGACCAACAACTGCGAACCTGGGGGGCTGCCGTGGAGGCAGTCTTGAGCAGATGTGAACTGAAAACCCGTGTACTTCCATGAGTCTCTGCCGTAGAAGCTTTAGCTGCCAGGTCAGCCTATCTTACTCAATGGAGCAACACCAGAAGGCCCACAAACAGCTTTCCTAGGTTTCTCTTATATAGTAGAGAGTTTAATAAAAATATTCACCGATTAAAGCAAGCAACGATAGCAAAACGTGAATGTTTAAAGAGTATGGCTTGAGATACAATGATTTGATACACATATGTATCCTGCCTCTGTAATAGCTGGTTTCACCTCCGCGGTCTCAACCAACTACAGATTGAAAATATTCGGGGGTGGGGGGGATTCCAGAATGCTCCAAAAAGCAAAACCTGAATTTGCCACAATATACAAAACTTGAATTTGCCACATATTGAGAACTATCCTGAATTTAGGCAAATGAAGTGATGTGTAAGTATAACCTGCTGTGGCCTGTGTACAGTTTCCATGCAAATACAGGTTTTAGACAAGTACAAATATACAAGGGACTTGATTGGGCATTCTCGGTTTTGGTATCCGCAGGATTTCTGGAACCAATCCCCCCAGGATACCAAGAGATGAGTATACTGTGAAATGATTACCACAGTAGGATTACTTAACATCTCTATCAACTCACATAATTACCACTTTTTTTGGGGGGGAGGGTCTCTTTTAATAATAATAATAATCGCAAACCCTTAATTGGCGCTTCCTGCCTGCCAGCCCAACCTGGGAGCTTTACTCACTAGTCCTGGTAATAGGGGCCCTGAGGCACGAGGGGGCCCCCCGGATGGAGCTTGAGAGTCCGAGGTTCCCAGCCTGGGACCCCCGACCACTATCCCCCACCTCTGCAGGGTCCACATAACTGGGGTCTGGCTTCTCTCAGTGTCCCCATCTGTGCATTGGGCTTGTGCTGGGCTCCTGGTGAGCGGCTCTTCTTCCTTCTGTCCCGCAGCCCCCAAGACCTGTTCCCAGGACGAGTTCCGCTGCCACGATGGCAAGTGCATCGCCCCCGACTTCGTCTGCGACACCGACCGAGACTGCTTGGACGGCTCGGACGAGGAGTCCTGCCCCCCGCCCACCTGCGGCCCCGCCAGCTTCCAGTGCAACAGCTCCTCCTGCATCCCTGCGCTGTGGGCCTGTGACAGCGACCCCGACTGCGACGATGGCTCGGACGAGTGGCCGCAGCACTGCGGGGGCCGCAACACGTCGGCCAAGCACCTGGACAAGCCCTGCCTGGCCCTCGAGTTCCACTGCCGCAGCGGCGAGTGCATCCACCCGAGCTGGCGCTGCGACGGCAGCCCCGACTGCAAGGACAAGTCTGACGAGGAGAACTGCGGTAAGGGCGCCTCCCCTGTCCCTGTGCTCCCCCAGGTGTGGGGCTGGTGGTGCCTTTAGGCGGTTAAATGATTTCAAATCACTTGCCTATTTAATTAACCTCTTTTTTTGAGAGGGGAATAAGCCACAGCTGCGGTATTATTTTGGTTCAGAAAGAATCCTGTGCTCCAGGCCTGGCTGGGGGCGCAGCTCTGTGACCCCTGGCCAAGGACTCAACCTCACTGTGCCGCGGTGTCCTCCCCTTAGGATGGAGCAATAGCGTTGGCCTTGGCAGGCCGGGGTTAGAGTCCATTGCCAATCAATAGAACTCTCTGCGATGGTGGAGGCGTCCTGTGTCTGTCGTGCCCAGTGCAGTAGCCTCTAGCCAACGCAGGTAGTGTGACCGAAGAACAGAATTTTTACTTCATTTTAATTAACTGAGAGTTAAGAAGCTACACACGGTTAGTGGCTCCTGTGTTGGGAACAGTGCAGATAACAGCTCTCGCCTTGGCTCTGGCCCTGTGTCAGTGCTCCTTGAACCCACAAACCGCTATTTTGAGGCTGGCGGTGTGGAGTCACTGAATCCTCTTGTGTATTTTCCTCTTTCTGTGTCACTTTTCATAGAGTTGTAATCACTGTGTAGATGTAATTAAACCTTTAGAAACATCACGTTTTAAAAACAATGCCATGACATTGTATGTGATCTGTTCTAAAACTTAACACAAACTCACTTAATCTCCATCACTTGTGAGCAGGCTTCCCTTACTTTTTACAGATAGGGAAACTGGGGCACTGAAAGGCCGCATAATCTTCTGAGGACACATAACTGAGAAAACGAAAATCCCATCCTCCTATCATTTTAGCTGTCGTCACAGTTTAGGCTTTGTTAAAGTGCCTTTGGTTGTTTTTTTTCCCTTTGCAAAGATATACATATGGGTTAAAAATAGGGTCCTCCCCCTTTTACATAGATTACAGCAGAGCAAGTGTCCGCTTGAACACACAGCGCTCCAAGAATTTGGCTTTTTAAAAAATATATATGTTTTTATTGATTTCAGAGAGAGGAAGGGAGAGGGATATATAGAGAGAAACATCAATGATGAGTCATTGATCAGCTGCCTCCTGCACGCCCCCTACAGGGGATTGAGCCTGAAACCTGGGCATGCCCTGACTGGGGATTGAGCGGGGATCTCCTGGATCATAGGTCGATGCTCAGCCTCTGAGCCATGCTGGCCGGGCTGAATATATTTTTTTAAAGGTGGGAAGGGAATTTTTCTGCTCACAGATTTATTATCTCTTCTCACTGACATCCTAAAATCAAAATTTTAAATTGTGTACATTTTTATTGTGAAATGTAGCCCACAGGAAAGTGCATAAAACATACACATATAGTGTAACAACTTAGCATAAAACAAATCCTGTGTGAGGTCAAGGTCTGGACCATGGCCGGCAGTACCCCATTCCAGTCACCACGTGCGTCCTCTGAGTATTAATTGTAATGTCGTCTATCACATGGTGTCATGTCATCAACATTCATTCATGTTTGTTGTCTCAGTCATTTGAATGACTACATTATACTCAGTGGTATTTACCTGATTTATTATGACTTACTTGGCCTGCCTCTGTCTAGATTGGGACCATATTATTGCTTTTCTGCTGAGAATGGCTTGTTGGGTCTGTAGTTTTTTAATGAATTATGTGATCTAAAAAATGCATATGAAGCAGAACTGGAGAGAAGTCTAGGAAAACCTTAATCGTTGTGCTGGGATATTTGGATTTGGGGTACTTTTCCCCTTTCCAATTTTCCAAACTTTGCTTTGTTATTTTAGTAATAATTTTTTATGATTCTTCTTTATTGAAGAAAAAAGTACTTTCCGCCATAAAAGAAAATCTTCTAAAATCTATGTTGGTTATATTTTATTTTATTTTTAAAAATTGACTAATTGTCTTGTGGGGGGGGGAAGGGGGGAGAGAGAAACATGATCAGTTGCCTCCCATACACAACCCAACCGGGATCAAACTTGCAACCTAGATATGTGCCCTGACCAGGAATTGATCCCGTCACCTTTGGGTGTACAGGACAATGCTCCAACCAACTGTGCCACCCAGCCAGGACTACATTGGTTATATTCTAGAATATGAAAACAAATGTACCTGGGGAGCTTCTCTGCATGGTGGGAAGGAAGGCCACCTCTTTCCTCTTTTTCCTGTTCAAAGAAACAGATAAAATGAGTGAGCCACTGTCTTCTACTAGTGGAGGAGACTGGGTGTGTTTTTCATGCCTGAAGTTCCTCCGTCTACATGCTGTCCCCAAGGCTGACTCCTGTTAGGCTGTTGGAAAATCAACTCTTCAAAGGTGAGGGTTCTTCCATTTTCGCCTCTACTTGAGAAAAATGGACATGTGCTTTGTCTTTCCTAGCTGTGGCCACATGCCGGCCAGATGAGTTCCAGTGCTTGGATGGGACCTGCATCCATGGCAGCCAGCAGTGTGACAGGGAGCATGACTGTAAGGACATGAGTGATGAGCTTGGCTGCATCAATGGTGAGCTCCATGCCTTGAGAGCCCTAGGTCAATGGGTCACGTGTTTATCCAATCATCAGTTGATGGACACTTGGGTTGCTTCCATCTTTGGCTATTGTAAATAATGCTGCTATGAACACGGGTGTATGAAAATAATATTAAAATGGTGATGTAGTCACACAGTAGAATACCAATCATACAGCTCAGACAATGAAGCCACAGCCCTTAGGCGGCAGGTGAACCTCATAGCTTCACTTGAACTTAGCCCAAAGGCCAAGAAGCAACAGAACCTCATAACTTCAGGGCTGAGAGCAAGAAGCTCTCATAACCTCATAACTTCAGAGCTGAGAGCAAGTTGCAGGAGGTTATTGAATGCAGTTATTTTACAAGACTTGAAAACAAGCAAAATCCAGTAATATATTGTTCATTCATACATTTTCAATAGACTATTAATGAAAAAATACGGGAATGGTAAACCCAAAGTTCAGGATCATTGTTGTTCTGGGAGTGTAGCAGAGGGTGGCGGGATGAGACAGAGAAGGGAGTGTGATCATCTAGGTCAGGGGTCTGCAAACCTTTACCACAAAGGCCAAATAGTAAATATTTTCGGCTTTGTGGGCCACAGTCTCTGTTGTATCTACTCAACTCTGCTGTGTTGTGAGAAAATAGCCACAGACAGTATGTAAATGAATAGACTGGGCTGCATGCCAGTAAAACTTTTAATATTTAAATATTTTAATATGTAAATAAACAAGCAGTTTTGCCATGTTTCATAGTTTGCCCAATCCTGCTTTTGGTGTCATTCTAATTCTTAAACTAGGTTTACGGGTGTTCAGTAGTTATTATGTTTTATTAGTGAATATATTTGCATATAATCTTGTATAAATTATTATATTATTAAAAAGCACTAAACAGGGTCCTGCAGCTCAGAAGCACCTGACCCTCTTCTTTGGCTCTCATAGTGACTGTGTGCAAGGGCCCCAACAAGTTCAAGTGCCACAGTGGTGAATGCATCCCCATGGACAAAGTGTGCAACTCGGTCCGAGACTGCCGGGACTGGTCGGATGAGCCCATCAAGGAGTGTGGTGAGCCCCGGGGTGCGGGCAGCTCTTGGAGCTTGTGGGGAGCTGGAAGCAGGACCCAGACTTGGGTGCTGTGGCGCTGCAAGGCTCCAGCCCATCCATGCCCCCAAGTGCTTTGGCTCTGGGGCGAGACAGATGTGGGGGTCTTGGGGATAAGTGGTTTTGCTTCCAAGTGTCAGTTTCACATCTGTAGGATGGGACTGTAGTTGCTCACACATCCTCAGGCTGCTGGGGATTGGCCAATGTGATGCTTGTAAAGTTTCAGCAATGTTCTGTGACCCATAGCTGTGGAAATATTTGGACTTTTCCCATCATACAGTCTTTGTCACATCTATTCAACTAGGCCATTGTAGCAGGAAAGCAGCCATATGAATGCATTTGCATGCACATGAATGTGTGTGGCTAAGCTCTAAGAAAACTTTATTATGTACACTGAAATTTGAATTTCATAGAACTTTTATGTGGTGCAAAATATTTTTATTTTTATTTATTTTTTTGAGAGTACATTTATTCAAGCTAGAATAGTGAAATAAGGAAGGATTTAGGATAGAAGAAGCAACAAGAAAGAGACTAGGCTGGGCTGCTTTGGCTCACTGAGAAGTCAGAGAAGAGAGGGCCTTGGAGACAGGTTCAAGGGGTTAACCCAGGATGAGTTGCTGCTGCCTATTGCTTCCCTGGTTGCAAATCTCTTGGGGGTCCCTTAGAGTTTAGGAGATGCATGCCTGTGGGGGAAGAACAGGGGAAGAAGAGGGGGACTGGAAAGAAGAGAGACCACGCCAATTCTTATTTTTCTTTTTAACTATTTAAATATTAAAAACCATTCTTAGTTGTTGGGCTGTTTAAGAACAGGTGGTAGGCTGGCTTTGGCCTACACTTGATGTAGAGAGTTAGAGTTTGGGTTCTGGAGCCAAACCGCCCTGGGTTCGAGTTCAGCAGTGTGATCTTGGGCAAGCCATTTAACTTCAACATGCCTCAGTTTTCCCACCTACCTTTAGGGTTGCTGGGAGGATTAAATGAGTAAATATACAGGGATGAGCAAGAGTAAGTTTACAGATGTGAGTTCATAAAACACAGAGTTTATTCTTGTATTATTTATTAATTATTGTATTATTTTCCATACAAACAACTATAAACCTACTTTTGCCCACCCCTGTATGTAACTGTGATATGTGGTTTTCAGTTTTTATCATTAAAATTTTTTAAATTGTGATTGAATGAAGATTTATTATAATAATTTTTAAGCGTACAATTCAGTGTCATTAAGCACATTCACATAGTGGTGCAGCCATCGGCACCATTAGTCTCCAGGACTTTCTCATCTTCCCAACAGAACTTCTGTTCCCGTTAAACACTAATTCTCCCTCCCTCTCCCCATGGTACCCACCATTCCACCCTTTGTCTCTGTAATTTGACTCCTCTAAGGATCTCATATAGGTGGGATCATACAGTATTTGTCCTTTGTGACTAGCTTATTTCACTCAGCACAGTGTCCTCCAGGTTCATCTATGGCATTGCATATGACAGTGGTTATTTTCAGTCCCCTTAGGGGTCATGGTACTTCACTGGCCTCACATTCATTGTGGTGATTGTGATACAGAGAGTGAAACAGAGGGTGGCTGGGAAGGGTGGCCGGAAGCCTGAGCGTGACCATCTGTGCCCCACCCGTTACAGGGACCAACGAGTGCCTGGACAAAAAGGGCGGCTGCTCTCACATCTGCAAAGACCTCAAGATTGGCCATGAGTGCTTGTGTCCCGAGGGCTTCCAGCTGGCGGACCCGCTAAGATGTGAAGGTGACTCCCAAGCTCCGTGGGCTCCTGGCCTCCTCAGCCCTTTCCTCTTATATGGTGGCCAAGCCCTCTGTGCCTTGGTTTCCCTACCTGTTATATGGGCATCTGCACTCACAAGGCTGCTAGGAGGATTTAACAATGTGTCACAGGCACGAGGAGTCTAGCACAGGCTTAGCCCTTGGGGAGCACTTGGTTCTTGCATTTTGGGATTAATAATTTAAAGATAGAACCCGGGCTGGGTAGCTCAATTTCTTAGAACATTGTCCGCATACACCAACGTTGCAGGTTCAATACCTGGTCAGGGCACATACAAGAATCATCCAGTGAATGCATAAATAAGTGGAACAACAAATTGACGTTTCTCTTTCCCTCTCTCTTTCTCCCCTTCCTTTCTCTCTCTAAAACCAACAAATTTTAAAAATAAAAATAGTAATTAAAAAAACTTCTCAGCTGACACAACTTCGACCTGTTGGCCTTAACCCAGAAGTGAGTGGTGAGGTAAGGGGTAATTGTTGGAGACGATTCTTAGCTGTTTTTATAACTTTATTTCTGAACCTCATAGTTACTGAGACGCCAACCCTGGAGATCTTCCCCAGAGGAGATGCTGTCCCCCATTTCCATTTGCACTGTGGGGCATAGCTTTGGGTTGGAGCCCATCACTCTACCTGTAGGGAACGTGCCCCAAACCTCTTTCTCTGTCCCGACTTGTAGATATCGACGAGTGTCAGGACCCCGGCGCCTGCAGCCAACTCTGTGTGAACCTTGAGGGCAGCTATAAGTGCGAGTGTGAAGAGGGCTTCCAGCTGGACCCCGTCACCAAGGCCTGCAAGGCTGTGGGTGAGTGCGCGGAGGCGGCAGGAAGGGCCTGGCCTGGCTGTTCCGAACACAGATGGGTGGGGAATTTCATCATCTGAACTTTGCATCATCTGAACTTCTGTGGACAGAGTGTTTGCTCCCGAGAGACCTCTGGCAGGTAAAGGAACACGTGCAGTTAGGAATCGGGCTTGCTGAAAGGCTGCCCTCACGTGTCTGGTTTCTCAGCAGACAAAGGTCAACCCCCTGGGGGATGGTTTGCAGCCCTCAGGCCCCTCTGGGGACATTAGAGTGCATGAGGTAGAAAGTCATGGCCCCAAACAGCCCGCACCTCCTCCAGCTCTTCTTATTAGCAAAAGGTACTTGTACCCTCCAAAAAGTAAATGCATTTAAGAGACACTAAAATATAATAGGTCATAATGAAACAATAGTAGAAACAGTTGAATTTTTTCCCTACCTGAACTTTAGGTTGGAACTGTAAGCGTGCGCTAATTCTTAGAATCGCCTAAACCAAGGAATCCTGTGTTTTCGGGGGTGTAATTGTTCTGCAGATTTGCCGCCCAAACCTTCTTTGTTTTGCATCATGTTCTGCCCTTGAGGTTTGATTCCAGCGAGGGTCAATTTTGCAGAAATATTTTAGAGTTGTTTCTGTTTCCCCAAGCGTCTCTTAGGCTTTCACTCCTTCTCCCTTGTTGTCATCCCTTTAGACAGCCTCCTGTCCTCCCTCTGTCACATCCTCATGAATGTCCTGGTTCTGGAAAAAATCGGGGCTGAATTCCTGAAATCCTCCAGGATCTGAGATTTTACTTTCATTCCAATCTGTAGGGGTCAGTATCTGTACAGATGCCATCCCAGGGGAAGGGAAATTCTGAGTGAGGTCAGCTGTAGAAGTGGCCAGTTTGTTGGTGCATATTGGTGTCATGGTTACAGCACAGCTCCCAGAGTCAGAGAGACCCAGGTTCAAATCCTGGCTCTGTCACTCACTATCTATGTGACCTTGGGCAAGTCGCTTTCCCTCTCTGGGCCTCAATCCCTTTATCTGTAAAAAGGGTTTGACAACAGTGCCTGCCTTGTAGGAGTGTGAGGATCAATGAGGGAAAAATTAGTAGGAAAAGCACTAAAAAGGATTCCCTGCTCTAAGGAATCACTCTGTACACTAAGGAACCACTCTGTACACATTAACCGTGATCATTTCTTCATCTTTCTGTTCTCAAATGTAAAATACTGGACCCCAGGTATTTTAAAATGTAGATTTTATTACTATGCACCTATGGTGAGGCCAACAGATCAGGAGACACTGCCATTGAAAAGATAGTTTGTTACTCACAGATCCAAGAGGAGGGGACACATTGCACCAGGCAGGGCTCCATGGGATAGCACCAGGTTGGTATGGAAGCGGAGGGAGCGGGGGAAATGTGGGCAAGAGCCTTTGTTGCGGTTTCCTTGGGAAGGAACAGGTGAGGCAGAGTTAACAGGCTTAGGATTGGCTAGTTAGAATAATTTCAGTGGGCTCTGGGGTGTAGGAACTGTCCCTGCTTGTCTGGTTCCTGGCCTGTGACCAGGGCAAGGGTACAGTGGCCTGGAGTGTGAGGAGGGGAAGGAGGTGGTGGGTGTGGGCTGGTTAGTTTGCATTTGAAGCAAGTGGGTGGCTATGCCTAGGAACTGCTAGGCCTGGGAGGGGCTGTCCCTCGAGATCTGCAAGGCTCCAGAGTCAGAGCGTCAGAACCGCGTCCACCCGGAGGCACCATCCATCCCATGTCCTGGGTGTCTCCCCTGGATCAGCCAGGCCCCGCAGGGTGACTAACGGGTCAGGGGCCCCTTCACTCCCCTGAGCGCCCTTTGTGGCCCCACAGGCACCATCGCCTACCTCTTTTTCACCAACCGCCACGAGGTGAGGAAGATGACGCTGGACCGCAGTGAATACACCAGCCTCATCCCCAACCTGAAGAATGTGGTCGCCCTGGACATGGAAGTGGCCGGCAACAGAATCTACTGGTCGGACTTGTCCCTAAGGAAGATCTACAGGTGGGCCTCAGCCCGCGCCCAGCCTGGCCCTGGGTGAAACGATGGCCTCCTGTACTGACTTCTCCTCCTCCCTCCTCAGCACCCAGATCGACAGAGTGCCCAGCTCCTCCTACGACACTGTCATCGAGGAGGACCTCCAGGCCCCCGACGGGCTGGCAGTGGACTGGATCCACAGCAACATTTACTGGACCGACTCCATCCTGGGCACCGTCTCTGTGGCTGACACCAAGGGTGTGAAGAGAAAGACCCTGTTCCAGGAGAAAGACTGCAAGCCAAGGGCCATTGTGGTGGATCCCGTTCATGGGTGGGTACTCCCCCAGCTGAGGGGTCAGAGAGAATGAAGAACCAGTTAGGACTCCTGGGGGGGAGGTTTGTGCCTAAAGTAGACTAGACTGAGGTGGGGGCTGGAATGGGGGCCTTCCCCACATGCCCTTTGGGGCCACGAGGATCCATCCTCTGACGTCTGTTGTATCACCTGAGGTGGAGGCAAACTCTGAAAAGTCTTCCCTGTGGAATAGAATCCAAACCCAGAAATTAAAATACTGATTTAAATTGGTATTAGAAATTAATACTTATTAGAAATTAGAAAATAAAATTCGGATTTAGTCTCTTGTGCCAGGATAGGATCCGAGAAAAGTAAGATTATGCAGGTCTAATGTTAATCGATAGACAGATCTTTTGGGGACGTGACAGGGAGTGAAGGTTACCCCCCTGTGGAGGCTCCAGGCTGGTGTCCACAGGGGCTGGTGGCTGACGCAGCAACTCCAGGGCCCACAGGGCAGGTCTCCTGAAGGAAAGCATGACCCTGTCTGTACGTGTCAGACCACACCTGCCACCGCAGCATGTCATGTGGGGAATTTCACAATTCCAGAGGGGCATTGACAACCCCAGGATGGACAGCTGAAATCAGAGGACAAGGGAGCACTTGGCTCTGAGCTTGACAGATGGGACAGACCCTGTGGTACAGGGGGGCAAAGCAGGCATGGGTCCCCCGGAGGGGCCACGATTTATTTCACTGCTATTTAGTACATGAAAATTTAGAATTTTATTCCCCCTTTTTTCCTGCCACTCAGGAAGTAGCACTGCTTTATTGCGGTGGTCTAGAACCAAACCTTCAGTATCTTGAGGTATGCCTATATATATATATTGGAAAAGCAAAAAAATAAAAATTTAAAATTGCAAAATGATTTAAAAAATCATAAGACCCGTCGGAAAGTAGTGTTTAGGGTGCAAATTCCTGGGCCCCATCCTGACATTGGAATCAAAACCTCTCTTTTTTCTTGAAGGTTCTAAAATCCTGCCAGATCTCGCCAGATGGCAGGTCCTGGGGTAGGTAGGGTAGGCAAGGCTGGGGAGCAGAAAGAAGCAATCTGGGGTCTCCCTGTGGACTGTTTCAGAGCCCTGGCCTGGCTGCTTCAGGTGGAAGCTGCTCTTCATCCTTGGCTGGGAGCCGCCCCCACTGACATCTGAATATCTGTTCTCACTGCTCTCCCTCCAGTTTCATGTACTGGACAGACTGGGGGACTCCTGCCAAGATCAAGAAGGGGGGCCTGAACGGTGTGGACATTCACTCACTGGTGACAGAGGACATCCAGTGGCCCAATGGAATCACCCTGGGTATGTTAGAGGGACTGTGGTCCCCAGGGGTTGAGCATAGTCGAGAGGAGAGAGGAGAGTGGCCAGGCTGCCCCTAAACACAACCATGCACTCCTCAAGGTTTTTATAACCCGAAACTAAACCCTCCATCCAATT